TTTACACAAGGCATTAGCATAAATATAAAAATCTTATTACTATGGCAATTATTAACCATTGTTATTTTGTCTGTGACAACGTTTATAGCCAAACAACCTATATATATATTTTAAAATCACACAATATGTATATTAGTCAATGAGTCACAAAACACATCTGTCCCCTATTTCAATCTTTGCTCACTCTTGAAACAGCACTTTTATTTACACACACCACAACTCTTACCATCTGATCAACAGTCTATCCTTCAGAGTTGATGGAATCATGGTATGGTCAAGGTTGAGTTTTTGAAAATTGAAATACAAAAATGGTTTAAAATGTCTTCAGCATTTTGTTCTTACAAAATACATTTCCTCCTTCTCTGAAACTACAATATTGCATTACTCTAGAATACAGTTTTAACTTTAACATAAAACTTTATTTTGCTTTATAGTAAAATTAATCTGAATTTTCTTTCCTCTGTAACTTATTAGTCACTGCATTTTCCTCTTAGAAAAAAATGTTCAAAAGAATAATTTTTTATCTTATTTTGTTGCCTATTTCTACCAGCGTATACTTCGTTACTAGGATATTAGGATGGTATATACCTCCTTTTCTTTGAAGTAGTAGTGGAGAGGTCACTTTGTAGCCATATTTATGAGTGAATTTTATTTGTATTTAACCTGTGGTAAAATGATTTATCTTTCGGGTATTAAGATATTAGTAACTGAAATGTTAACTACATACTAGTACCAAACAGATTATTTCAGATATAAAAATAGTTTTTGAGTAAAGTTTGGAATTGAAAACTTATTTGGATAATAATTTAAAAGTCCAATTCAATCCCTGGAATTATAGCTGAAATAGTAAAAGGAGGGGAGGAGAGAGAGAAGAGGTGGAGGAGAGAAGAAAAGAGAAGAGAAGAGAGAGGAGAGAGAGAAGAAACAATGATTTTAATTTGGGTCAAGCATCACATCAAAAATTTTTTTTTTTTAACATTCTGTCATAATACTACTTCAGGGGTCTGCACAACCAGAACCCCAACCCATTTTTCCCTCACTTTAAGATCCAAATGATAACGACCGTTTTAAAGAATCTTCCGGGAACACCAGGAAAATTATTAAAAAGCCTGCGGTATGATGCAAACTAAGAGCATTCTTCAAACAAGCAAGACCTTTTCTCTGTGTCTTGTATTGCTCTTCCCATCCCAGCCAGAAAACCCAGACAAGTTTATTTACACACACACCCGCGCGCACACACACCACCACCCCCTCTGAGAGACGGGGGGGGGGCGGGAGAGAGGAGAGAGAGGAGAGAGGGAGAGAGAAGGAGAAGGAGAGAGAGAGAGAGAGAGAGAGAGGAGAGAGGAGAGACAAGAGAGAGAGAGAGAGGGAGAGAGAAGGAGAGAGAGAGACAGAGACAGAGAGGAGAGGAGAGAAGGAAAGAAAGAGAGAGAGAGAGAAAACGACGGAAACGCCCTCTTTCCATCCCTTCCAAACAATTATCTGCGAGAGCAAAAGAAAATAATCAACAGCCAGCCCAGCGCTGTGCCGGCGGCGCGGAGCGAACGAGGAGCCGGCGCGGCAGGGAGGGCGGGCGGTCCGCAGGCGAGGAGCCGGGAAACGTGGCTCCTCCGCCGAGCAGAGGATTTGTGAAAAGGAGCGCTGGCCCGCGTGCGCCTCTTGTTCCCCGTGTAATTTGCAGCCAATCATCAGTAGGTGTCCACGTCCCTGCGTCCTCCTCACCTCGGCGCCAACCGCCCCCCCGCGCCCCCGCCCCCGCCCCCAGCTCCACACCTCCTCCCTCGCCTTTCTCTGCTCTCCCCTCCCCCAGCAACCACACACACGCACACACACAAACAGAGCGAGCGGGGGGAGGGTGAGAAAGAGAGAGAGGAGAGACTCCCCGGCTCCCTCCCTCCCTCGCACACAGCGACTGGAGACGGACGGAGAGCAACGCGCTGGGAGAGGAGAGACCACCGACAACAGCCCCGCGCTCTCACACATACACTCACACTCGGCTCTTTCCTCTCCCCCCACCTCCTCCTCCTTCCACCCCCACCACTTACACCATCTCCTCCTCCTTCTCTCTGCAACAAGAAAAAAAAAGCCATTTACAGGTATTTTTTTTTGATCCGCATATTTATTTACCCCCCCTCCCCAACAGTTTGTTTACAAGTATTAAAGTTGTAATTGGGAGCTGCCAAGACACATCTGGATTTGTGTTTCTTTGTGTTAGGGGGTGATGTGCAACTAATTAAAGGCAGACTGGCAGCGTCTGCAAATTCTAAGGCTCCCCAAATAAAAAGAGACTGGTAAGTGATTGTTCTTTCTCTTTCTCTGGCTTTTTTCTCTTCAATGTTTGCTGTCCGTTGGGATTGTAAAAGTAAGATTATTAATGCTGGACTCCAGTAATAAAAAAACGTGGCTGTATTAATTTATTAATTAATCTGCACCCGCCCCTCCTCCTGAATGTTAAATATGACCTTTGATCTCTATGTCTCTGGTAGACCAGACATACAATATTAAGCATGTACAGTCACATTGTTTAAAGGTAAAACAGGATCATGAACTGTGGATGTCTAATTTAGCTTTGCTATAGAACTATAGTTATTTGTGTTTTATTTTGTTGTTAAATAAAATCTAAACAATAGCTATGGCTTTAGGTACCTTTTTCATGCTCCAGAGATGCATTGATTAAACAATAATGACCTGGATACCAGGCACAATCATTTTCTACAGTTTCTGGTGGCATTAAACCTTGAGGTGGGAAGAGGGGAGGTGATGGCAATCAGAAAAGCAAGGAGAGCTTCTGTTTGGAAACACCACTCTGAGACTCTGCAAAAGGGACATTAAATTATTTCTTTATTTGGAACAAGGTCAAAAGACTAAAATGTTGAAATTTTTCCCTCCACTCAGTAGGATGGTATCTATTGCATGGTTGGCATAACTAGTTTTTACTAAGTAACAGTTATTATAGTCCTGCAGTTGCAACGTGATTCCCAGAAACTGAAGCTATATGCATATCCTTGCTGTGTCTTGCCCCAACCCCATCCAACCATCAAGAGTATTTAGCCAGGAGCATTTTGGGGGCACCCTTTGTATTGTCATCAGACCTCAGAAGGGAGCAGTTTTCCCTAATGTGAAACCACAGAGGTGGTTTCTGAGTGACTGGGGAATTGCTGTGATTGAAAGATGCCTGCTACCTTCTAATCCAGCCTGGGGTGAGGTTCCTTATCTTGATTTACTTTGCCTAATAGGGATTTGTTTACATAAACCCCTGTTTTTAGGGTGCCTCATCTGTAGGTCTTGAAGTTTTGCACTTGGAGTTTGGGCATAAATGGCTCATTAATCTAATTATAAGTATAATTGGTAACCATTTTAAACTCTGAATATTTGAGACTGAGACTACTAGGGCCCCCATTAAGAATTTCTTGAACTCCACATTCTAGACCAATCTGTGGGCTTCAAAAGATGTCACAGAAAGATACTCTGGTTAAAAAAAAAAAAATCTGGAAACAAAGAAACTGGTTTTTTAGGTGAATATATACTTTATGTGTTTGCTTTACTTCTGAAAAGGCTGTGATGTCCCTCTCCCTGTGTAATAAACAACTGAAATAGCTCTTCCTAAAGCATAATAATGGCCTGGAAGCAGAGAGATGAATGCAAATACCCAGTTAACATTAAACTTTCCTCTTAAAAAGAGCAAAGGACCCTCCCCCCCATCATTTTAATGGTTGTTTCTTTGGGTAAACAACACTGTAAGGGATTTTACCCTTTTATTCAATATGAAAATCAGTAATGGTAAGAGGGGGGAAAAAAAGTCCTATGTTTTCCTCTGGTCTTGGGAAGAGACAGCAATCTCCATTAGAAATGATTAGGGATATTCTTACAGAGGCTGCAGCCACTTGGTTAAAAGCCTGTGACATTGCTTGTATTTTTTTTTTTTAATCTAGTCCATCTTTTTTTTTTTTTCTTTTAAACAAGTAGAACACCACCCTCTTACCCCCACCAACCAAGCCCCACACCAAATGGCTTGTACAATTGAGACCTGTCCTTGGTCCATTGAATTAAGACCCTAACAGAGCCAGCTGTGCTGGGATTCAAACTAATGACCGAAGACACAGAAGGACACTGTGGCAGCTGGTAGTTCTTTTTTTCCCTGCCTCTTTAGTTCAGATTGTATGTGGGCAGTCTCTTAGCTCTCAGTTGTATTGTGTTTGCTTACAGTTTATACTCGGATGTATTGGAGACTTTCTCAGTACTTCATTTGCTAATTTCCTGCTCATTTTCCTCATAGGGCCATTGCTGTTTTCTACTTTACAGCATTTGCATGCCCAGGCAGCACTTGTTCACACATTTCATAATGTTTAAATGCCCTCTGCTTATAGGTAGTATCGCCCTCCCACCCCTGATTTGCATGTCTTTAGCACTCCAATTGCCCTTTTCCCTCGGCATTTGTCACCCCCGTCTTCCCTCTTTCCCCGGGTATCCTGGCTATTAATACATTTTCTCAGGAGGGTTTCAAGAATAGGGGGGGAGGAGCTGTGGTTTGCTGTGGGGAGAGAGGGAGGGAGCAGGGGCTGGGAGTGTTTGGGGGGGATAGAAATGAGGGGGTCACGTCTTGGTGATTGTTATGCAAACGACCCGACAGAAGAATGTAGGAGCTTTCAGTGCTGCAGTGGGGTAGCGTGAGGGAGGCTGTTTATTTATTTTTAATCTTTTTCCTCGTGCAGCTCGTTGGAATGACTTTCTTTATTTTAGTTGTAACAGTTGGAGGATAATGCGAAGGAAGACGCTGCCTGGGAATTCACCGTCTGTGGAAATGCGCCCCAGAGAGGAATAAACCAACCCTCACTTTGCTCTCCCCACCCGGACCCACTTTCCCCTCCCGCCCCGGCCCCCACCCCAATACCACAATCACCCCCTTCCCTCCCCCTCACCTCTCCCCCTTTCCCACCCAGGTGTCGGACCAGGCGGTCCCCACTTCCACCCTGCACCCCTTCTTCCCCCCCTGCACCATGAACACCAATGTTTGCGTGGAGCCCGGGCCGAGCCCGGAGGCCCCGGGCTTGCCCAAGGAAAGCCACCTGCCCGAGGGGGCCTTGAACAGCCTTGTGGATTACAACTCGGAGATGGAGCGCTACCGCTCCTTCGCCACCTCCTTCTACAAGACCAACGGAGGCGCCTTCCCGCAGGCGGCCAAGATCGCGCGCATCACCACCCCCATCTTCCCCAGCAGCGCCGCCGCCGCCGCGGCCGCCGCGCGCATCGGCATGTCCCCCTGGAACTGCGACAACGCGGCCACCGCCGCCGCCGCCACCGCCATGCTCTGGGGCAGCGGCGGGGGCGGGGGCGGCGGCGGGGGTGGCGGCGGCGGGGGTGGCGGGGGTGGCGGCGGGGGCGGCAGGAAATCCTCCTCCGCCGCCGCCTCCTCCTCCGCCTCCTCCTCGGCGATCCTCCCCGCCGGCGGCGGTGGCGGCGGCGGTGGCGGCGGTGGTGGCGGCAGCAGGACCAGCATGCACCACCGAAACGACTCCCAGAGGCTGGGGAAGGCTGGCTGCCCGCCAGAGCCGTCGTTGCAAATGGCAAATACTAATTTCCTCTCCACCTTATCCCCTGAACACTGCAGACCTTTGGCGGGGGAATGCATGAACAAGCTCAAATGCGGCGCTGCTGAAGCAGAGATAATGAATCTCCCCGAGCGCGTGGGGACTTTTTCCGCTATCCCGGCTTTAGGGGGCATCTCATTACCTCCAGGGGTCATCGTCATGACAGCCCTTCACTCCCCCGCAGCAGCCTCAGCAGCCGTCACAGACAGTGCGTTTCAAATTGCCAATCTGGCAGACTGCCCGCAGAACCATTCCTCCTCCTCCTCGTCCTCCTCAGGGGGAGCTGGCGGAGCCAACCCGGCCAAGAAGAAGAGGAAACGGTGTGGGGTCTGCGTGCCCTGCAAGAGGCTCATCAACTGTGGCGTCTGCAGCAGTTGCAGGAACCGCAAAACGGGACACCAGATCTGCAAATTTAGAAAATGTGAAGAGCTAAAGAAAAAACCTGGCACTTCGCTAGAGGTCAGAGGAGATGATTTCTTGTTTCCCAGTCTTCCCCCCTCCGTCCTCACTCCTTTCTCCTCTCCCCTGCAGGGCTTCTTGTCTGGCTTCCACATGCAGTGCCCCTTTTCTGAAGCTTCATTCAGGTCGTAAGACAGTCGTAGGTGGTGTGTGGAGGGCACAGCCTCTCCACCACCCTCCCAGCTCTACTTCACGTGGAACCGCCCTTCTGCTAGAGAGGGTGTCCCTCCTTTTTATCTCAGTGGGGGGAAATGGAGTTGGTCTGAAGAATAAGAAGTTTTACATTCAGTGTGGTCAGTATTTTCCCTTGTTGGTTTAAAATGCCTCCTCCTCCTTATTCAAGGAAAAAAAAAGCATCTCTGCCCAAAGTAATAGACACACAGCATCCTACATGTGTTTATTAGCTAAGAAACGCTAGTCCAGTTGTAAGAGGACACAGTTTTTGGCTCACAAGCTTGTGATATAAATGTGTATATGACACATATGTGCACATATACATGTATTCACATTGGAGTTGAAATTCAAAAGGGGATTTTCCTAACCCCCTTCTGGAATAGTTTTCTCTTGAACATGACAGAATGATTGCTTCCTAGTCTGTTTTTTTCTTACATTTTATATACATATATGTGTGTGTGTATACATGTATATATATGTGTGTGTATATATATGTGTATATATGTGTGTGTATATATATATATGTGTATATATGTGTGTGTATATATATGAAAACAAAAGTAGTATAGAAAGCTGATGGCCACCAGCAATTTTAAGGAGATGTGACTTAGACTAAAGGGGTACAAATTAGTTACTTTTGGAGCAGATGATGGGGATTTTATTTTAAAATTATTTTACATTGTTTCAGAAGTAAATGATTCCTAAAGCTCAGTTACAAAAATATTTTCCTTGGGCTCTGAATTTGACAAAGTAACCATTTTATGGTTGCGAAATTGCTCTGTACACCAGGCACAGCTTTGGTTGATACTTTATATGGTCAATGATAGTTTCTTTTCCTATATGTCCTTAAAACAGACATTGTACAGTCACTAAAAGAGTCGTTAAATTAGGCTTTTGATTATGTTAAATACAGAGATTGGTGCATCTGATGGAAATTTCATATGGTATCCTAATGAAAACAATAAGGGAAAAAATGGAAAATCATAGATAAATAGTTTTGATGGTATATTAAGAAAAAATATGGGCAGGTAACAGTAGAAGGTTACATATTCATGTGTACATGAGGCTATAGGTGGTGGATTTAATATTTGGGAACATTCCATGCACTGGAATGTAGGGAGAGAGTGGCTGTCACAAGTTATCATAAGAGGAGTTATACATTCTTTTAAAAATTATAAGCACTGTTTGGAGTTTTTGTATGAATAACTGGGAAGTGGTCTTTAAAAGGTTAAAGACAAGGGTTCAAGATCTTTGTTGCTAGTCTGAACCCAAGGAAGACAGCATTTTTAACTTTTATTACTACAAATCAAGGCAGACAGCACTTGTGGGATTCCAACGAAAAAGTCAGAATTATATAGATACCGTCACTGATCACAATCAGTTCCATTAAAACATTGTACTTATTCCTCTTTATATGTGAAATCATGTCTTTGTTGAAAGTTTAACTTCACTGCAAGGTAGCTTATTGTGTTTCTTTTGGCAACTCTGCTTGAGCAAAGATAATAGCAACTACAGTGCAGGTTTATGTATTTTCTTGGGTGGCCAAAATTAACTTTGAATTCTCTTTCAGGGATTAATTTATTATAATTTATCTAGGTCTGAAAGACCATGAGAAATTAAATTCATCTTATACTAATGTTTCCTATCAAAACCCAATAAGGACTGTATGGCTTTATTTTCTCTTTTGAAATGTAGTATATAGAACTAGAAATTTGGTGCTGCTTTTAGGCTTCATCTTTAGATTCATGGCAGTACCTGCCTCCCAATTTAAAGTATGTAGTGGAAAGGACCACTGAATAATTCTGATTTATTTAGTGAGTAACTGTTCTACAAGTTTCTATGCTAATATGTCAGTCCACACAGGTTTCTTACATTTCCTTTTTTTCCTCTTTTCTTAAGTTTTCCCACAAGCTTGTTGTTATGTTTAAATTTCCGAGGCATTTTGAAAGATCACAAAATCCCATAGTATTTCTTTTCTTCAGTTTTGAAAATTCACTTTCACAAAAGTTGTGTTGCTCTTCAAAAGGTGGGGTATGAATAGGAGAGGAAGCAAGTATCTCTGTCTTTTTGTTGATGTCTCAACATATTCTCTGCAATGAAGATTTCCTTCCTATCAAAGCATGTACTGGGGTTCAAGGCTATGATTATTAGTAGAAGCCTATCTGGCAGAAAGAAAGAAAAAGTTTTTAAAATTGTCTGAGTCTACGTAGGTCATTAAAATGGAATGTCAGCATGTCTGCCTCAAACCCATGTGCAACCAAAAGTTATTGTAGGAAACCAGCCGGACATGTGTCAGAGTGACAGGAACATTGGCTTGGGGTCTGTGAAAAGCCCCACTATTAACCTGGTTTCCTTCTCTAAGTTAGTCCATCATCATCTGAGGAGATGTTTTAGGGATTGGAAGTAATGCTGAGTGAGGGTGGTGATTTGGTGGCTCAATATGTCTCTTACCTGTGGATTTCAGCTATAAGCTTACTAGGTAATATTTGTAAGTTTAAATTATGAACACCAATTAACATCTGCATCATAAGCATAGCTTAAATTTTTGGTTATCACATCAAACTTCATATGCCCATCTTCTCTTTGATGTGTTCTCATTTGAAGAATGGAGGCATAGTCAGTTTTTTTTTTTTTTGGAGTGAGTAAGCTGAGACTGAGAGACTGACATAGATGTGCTAGGGTTCTTGCTCACATTTGTTTTTAAAGACCCCACTGTAACATTCCTTTTAGAATTACATCTTCCTGCTTAAGGTCAACTTTTAATACCCTAGAAATAGGTTTATAAAACCACCTCTTGATTGTTTTCAGGATGATAATGCACATAAAACATTTAGTTTTTCTTTGATTTGTATACTGTATATTTGCATATGCCACTGTTAATTTAGTCCATGATCGCATTAACAAATAGCCGCTAATTGTTGAAAGCAGTTGTACAAATGCTTTTTACCCTTTGTGTGATAAAATTCATTTTAAAGTCTCATATCCTCAATGTTAAGCTCCTAGAGAAGTGAAGAAATTTGATTTTACAGGAATTATGATTTTTTAGAACTTACAATACTTAATTTTATAATAACGCTTTGTCCCTTGCAAAAGTAAACAATATGTTTTCATATTCACAGCAGTTATGGTTTTGATAAGAAGATCTAACTTTAAAAAATATCCTAACCTGATATGGCTCAAGGGATAAAGTTACCCCATGGGCAACTCCAGCCTCTTAGTCTCTGAACATTTTTCAGGTGACATGATTGATCTCAGTGGGACAGCATTAGAGACCACACAGATCTGGTTTCTCTCCCATTAGTTGATTTATGGAATTACATTAGTAGGGAGTGCCTCGGGAGGTTTCCCTGCCCCCACTCTTGCTCTCTTTGCTGCCACTACTTTATAGGGAAGAGATTGAGAAACTGAAATATCAGGGAAAAAAAGATGGTTGCATTTTTTTTCATTTCCATATTTTCTTTTCTGTTCTTAAAAATTTGTAAGTTGATATACAAGCCAACCATAATTCTTCCACAGGTCTTCCAAGGGATTGGGGGAAACACATCCAGATATTTAAAAAAATTTTGATGGCTTGATTGAGAAAAGCATTTTAGGAAGGGGGAGATATACTTTTTGTGTATGCTAAATTCTAAGAGCCCCAGCCACATGGATAATAGTTGTGAAATTCTGGACAAAACACTGTCTCTTTTGGGCAGGAAGATAGCAACTGCCTGCCAAGGACACTCACTCATAGACCGCACATAAAATAGGGTGTCACTCAAATTGAGAACTTGTATGGTTAGAAAACTCAGTGTATAAGTTGGAATGTAATAAAGTTTTGAAGTTTAGTGACTTTAAAAAATTACAAATGAAATGTAAATGTTTCATAGCTTAAATTAAAACATTCCCTAATTTGTTACTTTATGTCATAATTTAAAAATTGTTTTTCAGTTGTCATTTTCAAGAATTAAAAACATACAGTAGGAAATACAATTTTTTGTTTTAATACAAAAATACAAATACATAATTTGTTATAAAGCATAGATGAATTTTTTGAATAAGATTCAAACATTATGATAGTATATTAACATTCCAGTGTAGTATAGGAATAATGTAGAAAAAAGATCTTGAGTTTATACATGATAACAAAAAAGCTCAGAAAAGTTAGACCTTGACAAAAGCCACAAGACAGTTTTTTGATCAAGGCACTGAATTAGAAGTCCAATGAGATTCACTTCCCATCACTAGATTTAATCCAAAGGAATTAAAGTTGTTTTTATAAACATTAAAATATTATGCTGTCTATGGTAAATACATATAATTTTACTAATTAAAAAATAAAAGTATTTAAAAAATAATAATGTTATTTTTAATAAGTCCTAAATGAAACCACTACACTAATCCATCCAAACATCATGAAAATCTAAGCAGTGTTTTATATGATGATTAGAAATAGTAGAATAAAGAAATCAAAATCCTTTTTGTAGATTATGTTCTATGAATATTTGCTTGAAGTACAACCATCATCAAAGAAAATACAGGTAAACAATCAGAAAGCCAATAAAGAATAAGTTAAATAACATTAAAATTTAGACAAATAAAATATTTAGTTAAGAAGCAAATATGTATCTAGTGATAAAGTAATAAAAATTTCTTTATTTCTAAGAATTAAGGAATGGATTACTAAAGTACTGCTGTGTATACCATCTAGTTTTTTAGAAAAAACAGATAAATTTTACAAATGTAAGACTTACAGATTGATATAGAACAATTTAATGAAATAGACTAAAAGACAAAAAAATTAAAAGTGTGCAGAAAGAAAGAATAGCTTTCCATTGTTACTTTCT